TATGCAATTGAAATAACGTATACCCTAGTTCCTTTAAGTATCAAAGGAAGTTAAGCCAGTGGGATGTAACCACATTTTCACAACTCAGTGATCAGTATCTACGTTACATTTTCAAAGAAACAGCGACTGTATCTGCCGTTAAACCGAATATCGGGGTTAAAGATTCCATTGCGAAGCTATTTTCTTGTGATGTTAAAGTATGCAGCTAAGTGCCCTGCAAAGCCAGAACTTTACACTCGACAAGCAGCACAAGACTGCACAGGGCTGGCCACTGACTGGCTCACAAGCGCTGTGTGTGTGTGTGTGCTTTATCAGATAAGAGTCGTTCCACCAGTTTTTGAACAGTTATCTAACTCCGCTGTGAAGGAAGGAAGGAAGCCATGACAGCGGATTAACCTGGTGCAGCTGCCTCGGCCTGGTGCAAGACCGCAGACCCCTTGAGACGTTGCTGGGCACCACGGCCGCAAGATGTTAACTACCTCGCCTGGTCTACAGGTCGTGGGTTCGATCCCGACCCTGACGCGTGCATATGTGGAGTTTGCGTGTTCTACCCGTGCTCCCGTGGATTTTTCTCGGGGGTTTCCCTCTACATTTAGAAACATGCGTTCAGAGTATTTGGCGGCTATACATTTCCACGTGATAAGCCACTTTGTTGAGCTATCATTTGTGGCCAGGTCGCCTCTGAAAAACAGCTATAGAGGTCAGTGACCCTTACCTGGTAAAATAAAAAGAGTTTATAGTTTTATAGTTTGTACGCTAAATGGCAAATCGGTACAACACGCCTTGGCCACAACTAGACACCTGGGTGCATGCCCACGCCATCCCATGATAATCCCGAGTGCCTTATTTTTTTAATTCATTGTATGTTGAGCTTCTTTCGCACCATACGTAGCCAACCGTGCGACTCGGGAGGTGTGGGGGAAGGACAACGAAAATTAATCTCATGACACAATAAGCGTTTTTATCCTCGTTGAAGGATAACGACAAAACACTGTTATCAAAGGTGCCAACTCCAAATGGCTACAAAAGCTAAAACTGACAATAACATCTGCTATATGGTGCTAATGATGGGACTGGTTTTGTGCACCGTGGCCAGAACCCATTGATGTGGCCAACATCAGTGGCGCCTTCCTCATACTAAATACGATTCAAGTGCCCAACGTCTGATGAAATTGGGCACATTCAGGGTAATTTAGTCAAATATATACATCTCATATCTCTCTGAGCAGCTTCAATCTCAAAATTTTGACCTGCAAGAGCTGTACTTCAAAGACCACAGCTTGACGGGGAATAGGTTTCATTATCATTCCACGGTTTGTTCAACTGGGTACACTCAATGGTGGAATAAGTGGCCACGCAGTAGCATTGATTCAATTGAAATTGTGCTGCAGTGCATAGAATGTGAAAAGTGCACAAGAGTGCACAATTACAGTTAGACGGAGCAGTATTCAATCCAGACTTGATAACCTAAATGTTTTACTCTACAGCCTTTCGTCAATCCACTGCTGGATGAAGGCACCCCGACCCCCACGGCGGCGTGCGAGTAGCTTGATTATACTTTACCATGGTCACGGGTGATGGGGTGCCTGGACCGGTTCAGGTATCACTCGCCACTGATAATGAGCCACAGCCAGAAATTTCACTCAAGTATCCAAGTTCACAGGGCAGCCTGCTAACCTGCTACGGCATTGCTCTCAAGGTTACCCGTACGGGCGTCACAAAAACCACTCGCCGCACCACGTTGAACAGATTCCAAATTAGAACATTCCCGAATGAAGGGCCAAATTAAACGAACAAGCCAGTCAATGGCCCGTTTCCCCAGCTCGTTAAACGCAAGCAATTCACGCCGTCGTTGTTCAGAAAAGATCTGGCAGCACCACTCAAACCAGCTGCAGGTGAATACAAACTTCACGGGAGGAAAAGGCTTACAGTTCACTCGACTGGAAGGCGTTAAAAATGCCAGACCTCAGTTTGCTTCTGTGTTCTACGAGCTCCCAAACATACTGGCAGCAGTCATTAGCCAAAACCAAAACAACAAAATAAAAAAAAAACACACACGCAAATGCGGTTTGCTGAACAGAAGCAGCTGTTGCCAGGGCAGCCTCCAATACAATACACGCTGCAGGACAACTTGCAGGTCATTGCTAACTGCTAAGTGTTTGGCCATGACCAATATCCTGGTTAGGTGTATTAGTCCTCTAACACTGCATGATTTCTCGGTCGTACTCTACGGCTCTCACATGTGCTTTCTAAGCGTGTTGTTCAGCACGATGTCCAAGTTCGGCATGACCACCAAGTGCTGCGAGCTTCGATGCATCTCCTGAAGATTTATTTCAGCACGTGCAGCGAAACGTCGGACATCGTGCCGAACATCACACCGTACAGACCGAAAAACGCCGCTGTAGAGCCACACAGTGTCCTGCCGACGCCAGGCTAGGGAGAGAATGTCGACAGCCCAAGTGGCGATCGCCAGCGAGCTGAGTGACGAGCAACGTGGGCCCACTCAGCCCACGCGACAGCCAGCCGCGGACAGACAAACGACCCGCTTGAGAAGATTAATAAGTTACATAGAACGGATTGGCCGAGTGCCAACGCATGCGGAGAGGGTGCTTTTGTTAACGAAAGATGCATTCCTTGCCCTGGTCCAGTGTCAAGGATATAAAGAGCTTGTTATGGTCTTGTCATTTCATGATCTGTTTAAAGCAGGCGAATTCTTCCTGTAAGCCAATTTCAAATCAATGTCTACAGCTTCTTCCTATAGCAAAAAAATACTTATCAAATTAACTTCATTTACCTATGGCATGAAGTCAAATGTAAAAAAGTTTTGATTCCTGTTTTATTGAATCCTCCAATTTCAACGTGTATACAGGAGTTGGGGAAGCAGTGGCAAAGTGGTTAGCATGCGCCGTAATGAATCTGCCAATCTCACCCGTTCCCTGCCATGGCTGCTAGCGTGAGTGGTGATACCTGAACCAGTCCTAGCCGCTCCCCACCTCACCACACTGCACTAGCCAGCGTGGTGACGGATGAATAAAAAAAAAACCCGTCACTTACATGGCATAGGGGAGCGCTTCATCCAGTGGATTTAGAAAGGGCTGAAAATAGTTATTAACTGTATTCAAGATTAACATATTCTCTGGTAATAATTCACCGTACTGTTACACAGACGGCTCCATGTACGTTGTAAATGTCCTAATCGGGTGTTATCGGTGACCAAAATTGCAGGTGAACTATTTCCGTATGCCTTAAAATGCCTTTTTGCATTTGTTTCAAGGGCCCAATTTTCAAGTCGTTTAATATTCCACGATATCAGATTGTCGTGCGAACTGTTGGAATGTTTGTGCAGTGAACATGGAGAGATTTTGAGCATTAGGTTCCAATGTTGAACTGAGAAAATCCAAAAGAAGCCTTTGCCCCAAATTAATGACCAGTGCAGTACTTGAGACTATCATCATCACCTATATTTTAGCACAAGGGTGACCTGGGTTAAAAAATATAATAATCAAGACGACCAGATGACATTTACGCTGACAAGCAAAATGATGTTGATACAGCCATGGCATTCTCTACCAATGCTTTACATATTTTTCCTACCCTTCCGGGAAGGATGAAAGTGCTCCTAAAAATAAACCATTGTAATTGTCACGCTGCAATTGCTCTGCTATGTGTGTATACCAACTACATCACGACAATAATGTTTTAATTTTCCTGCTCCATCACATCAGCAAACACTTTCTATTTTTTAAATCAACCTCCCATTAGTCATCATGTGACAGGACATCACCCAATCTCCTTTGCTGCTCCCACTTCCCGAATTTACATCCCCTTTCCATATTTGCAATGATGCGTTATTTTGTAACCTTGATCTTGCAAAACACCAAATATTTATCTTTCATCACTCTACAGGGTCTGCAGACATCATATTGTACATTAACACAAATTGGCAATGCAAGTGTGTAAAGGACAATGCAAAAAACGTCACCTATTATATACTGTTCCTTGTAAGGCAGTGAATATATTGAGGGTTTGTGTTGTTGTTAATTGTGCTTGTGCACTACCGCCAATGCAGCATCACCAAATTATTTGGTTCAAAGGATGTTTTTTTTTCACGAGGACTTGACATCCGGTTACGGAGGAAGGGTTTTAAACGTATGAAGGGTGTCTGGGCCAAAAAGCGCGGTGCGCTATGTTACCTCGCTTGGCAGCAACGCCGTTTGCACCGCACGCAACACTGTCCCGGTGGGAGAAAAAAAAACGACGTGTGTGTGTGTGTGTTGCGGTTTACGGCTTTTGCCAGGCAATTAAGGACGGCACCGGGAAAACCTATTATTTTTAAGTGTTCATTTGTTCGAGAGGGCGAAAGGGGGGTGCATCATCGTCTGCACTTTACAAGGGCTCTGATGGAGCCGTGAGTTCAGAATCAGAATCTTTGCTTAGACTGGAGGAGGAATCCGATGAGCTGTGAAGCTCTTTTTCACAGATGTCCAGTATTGTTGGGTCAGCAAGTGACAATAGCAAACAATACAGCTTTAAATCTAAAAATACAAAAGAAAACGATCGGAGTGAAAAATTGAGAAAATGGTAAGCAAGGTACTAAATATTAATAAATACATTTCTTCGAAAAGTCCAATTTATCAAGCTTGACCAAGGCAGCACAAAAAAAAAGAGTCCAAGACCACGCCAAGATAACACAGTCATTCAATAAAATGGCACATTAACATTGAACTATCGACACACGGGTAAGTTACACAGTGAACCAGCCACACATCAATTTTAATGTGGGAAAGGTGGCAACGCTTTACTGCGGATCTGCCCGCCGCACTGATTAAACATTAATCTGGCACGTGCAACGGGGATTTAGAAATGCACACAATATAAAAACCCAAACAGCTGTCTTTGGCCAAGAAAAAAAAAATCTAACTGGAAAAAAACACAGAAAAAAAACGTGCACTTGCATCAACGCACGCAGTAAACAACAACAAACAATAACGGCAACGTACCTCGTGAGACGCTGAGCCATGGGCTACAATATTCTTACACACTGCAAGCGAAACAAAATACACAGGAGTAATTAAAGCAGGTGCAGAAAAAATATCATAATAAAAATGAACTGAAAACAACCTTCAGTTATACATAGCATGGTGTACACAATATAAACGCGTAGATGCATAGATTACGTTAAATGTGCAGCCCTGCAACTGCTTGCTCAAGCGTCTGCTGGCAGAAGGTCTTCCACTAGAGGGCACCTGGAGGGTGTTTGGCCTACTCTTCCACGCTGGCCAGACGTCAATTGGCTAACTGTGGTGTACTCACTATGCCAGATAGAAGGGTAAAGAACCAATTATGTGGTGTACTCATTTACACTGCAGGATGGACGGGTTTGGGGTATTTCAGAAACTCGGACCATTGTTTCAATTGCCTTGCCAGGAGATCGAACTGGCGAACTCTGTATTATAAAGTCCAATGTACTTATCATTACAACACGGCAGCATCCAAACATATACACGAGTGCAATATGCGTGACAGGTGGCCGAAAATTATAGCGATTGCGGAACCAGAAAATTTGCACCAACCCATAGTTAGGTTGGTTTTAAATATCTGCAGAAATTCACGTCCTCGTCATTAGGCATATAACCATGCATTGATCTGCAGAAACCGATTAATTATCCCCTGAGCACCTGCATGAAGCCACACAGGCGAGAATGCATTATTTACAAAAGATGCAAATTTTATTTGAATATTACATTAACACTAATGATGCAAACAAAGTAGAGCAAAATTGAATAAATATGAAACAAATAGCCTTTTTCCTGTCCAAGGACGGGTGTATTGCCGTAAATCTTAAATTTGCAAACGAAAAGCAGACCGCGATGTGATATATTCATTGCATCAATGCGTGTGCAATTTGTAAGGGCGCGGTGACACAGACTTATTTCGTTTAAAGGTTATAATCCCTTGTTCATCATGACGTCCTTTTTACTTCGATGTCTCAACAGCGTGACGGAGATCACGTGACGTGAGGGTTCTGCCTTTGTCGTGAGGGTTGTCAGTTGACGCCGAGGAGGGGGGAGGAGGCGCCTCGCCCCCCCCCCCCCCCATGTGGAGTGACGTCAGCCGCTAATTATTATGAATGGGGAGGGGGGTGTTCATTTGGAGGACGTCACCTGCTGATGAATATTAATGAGGGGGGCTGGTCGATGTGGAGTGACGTCACGAGAATTAAGGACATATATTCCTGGGTGATTATGGTAGGTATACAAGTGAGATTCTTTCATTTCGACAACAGAGAAGCCATTTATTCAACTAAATCTCAACCTCGAATTGTGACAATTCAACGAATCTCCGGGGTCTGGGAAAATCACTACATGCCTCCTGTTCATGTAACAAAACAGCATTTGAAGTTCACAAGTTGTATTCTCTACATGTCTGTTACAACTTATCAAAACGTCTCTGAGGACTCACGTTTGAAAAAAGTTCTATCGCAGGATTCTTCAACTAAACTTTTTATCGGGCCAGATACTTGAATCATCTTGTGCTGGTGGGACACTTGCCATTACGTGTCACGATGTCACATGGAGTCATGACGTCATGACGTCTGCCCATGTGACAACTAATCTCTACCTAAAGCCTCCACATCTTTTATATCACTCTCAGCAAGTGTGCGAGGTGCTTGGAGGGGTATCTGTCTCGTGTGCTGGTCTGGCAGGACCGTGGATTAACAAGTAGGATCCACGTGTTGTGGATGCCTCTCGGAAGGGGACTGTTGCCTCGGGTCAGGAGTTGAGGGATCCCTCCAGGGTTGGTGCGCTGGACACCCTTGCGGTCGTTCCCTGGACTGTCTGTGACGTCGGGCGGTCAGGAGTTTACTATCGCCCTGCCGAGCTCGTGGTATGTCGAGGTGTTTACCCCCGCACCCTTGATCTCATTAATTTCCTCTGCGGTGTTCTCACTGGTTTTGTTCATGCGAATGAGGTTCACAATATTCAGAGTTGTGAGATTTAATTCGAGAATTTAGCGAATACAAAATAAAATGGTTACGTCTTGCTTACATCTCATCACACTATTCTGCATCTATTTACGTCTCCGCGGGCCACAGCTCGACGAGCCACTCCCATGAGCCCTCGTGGGCCCCGTCTGCCCCACAAGCCGCCAAATGTAAGAACCCTGCCCTATAGCAATCACGCAAAGCGTCTACGTTCATTCTCCACACTGGGCGGTCATGTCGTGGACGAGAGTGCAGCCAGCCAAAGAGATGCCGAACACGTTCTGGGTCCCGGTGCGCATGAGCCTCACCGAACGGGAAGGTGACGTTGCGCTCCCGCATCAGGGCCAGCATTTCTTCCGGGTCCGACGTGTTGAGTCGCACAAAAGCTGGCGTGCTGATCGCTCCCTCTGACAACAGAAACAAAGATTCCCCCGTGTAGCCTTTAGCGGAATGGTCGGCGGGCAATTGCTGTGAGTGAGCTGCATGTTGCACAAGAGGGATGGTGGGACCTAAACCATGCCTGGCCGTCTTTGTTTCCCCAGTGCTGAGATTACAAATTGCATCAGGTACTCATGAGAGGGAATAGAATGCAGGCCACTGTGTTCTTGTGATGATAAATACACAACAACCTAAATAACCCTGGGCAGGCTGCGACTGTAGTAGGTACCGAAATTCCGTAAAGCAAAAGATCGTATTTTAAAGTGCAAGTCCTAGTCAGATTATAAACAAATGTGTGTGGCTCCGGGTGATAGGGATTACACCTTGCTCCCAATGCACCAGCCAATCAACTACAAGGAAGACAACCCCATGCAATATGGCCGCCATGAAGTTACTCATGCAACATGACCGCCATGATGTCATCACTCTGTGCACCATTAATAACCCGTGTGTTTGGTAGGGTGGTCACCCTACCAAGCACTGTACTGGCTCAACCCCGCTTACCTTCCGAGATCTGATAAGATCGGGCGCATACTGGGTGATTCAGTCATGGGTGAAACATAGCGATTATATCATAATATGTAATGTCCGAGCCAAACAAGAAAAAACACGAGGGGAATTTGTATTTTCAATCAGGCATCTGGGTACCAGAATGTTTGACACGTGTGTTTGGACACTATAGGCAAAGAACGAAATGACATGCAAGAAGAGGCCTACGTGAAATTCTTCGCGCGATAACCTGGCAGTGACCCGTCCGTCGCCTTCGGCAGATGAAAGCTTGACCCCCCCCCCCACCTCCCCCACGCCATTTCAACAGAGAGCTTACCCAGCCGGCATATTTCAAGCTCCTGAATGAGGTCGTAGGACCGGCATCTGTCAAGCAGCTTCCGCACAGCATGCAGTGGGTCGAGCAGCATCGTCTCCGGGTGACTGTCCACGTAGCTCTGAATGTGGTTTAGTTTAAAAGAGAAACAAAACACACGCGCACCCGGCGAGTAATGCATGATGCATGGAAACCTTTATTTAACCAGCAGATGAAATAAAACCACTGGGGCACATGAATTTATTTTTTATTTTCAAGGGCGACCTGGGTTACGTTGAGAACTCAACGTGGCTGTTATTGCATGGAGTAAGAAATCCGAATCGTCACAATCACTCACTCGTTCAGCTGCTTTATTGTCGCTCTGTTACCGCTACTTCCACGTTGAATTTGAATGTCATGCCCTCATACCGCCACCCTTGTCAAAGACTCTATTTGCCCGATTGGCTATCACCGCTCTCATTAACGTGAGCAGCCCATTCCAAATTTCCTGTAACCTTACGAAACTCGAGGAATGTATTTGTTCATATCTGCTTGGCTATAGTTAGTGCTTTTTGTTACTGGCCGCTTTGATTTAGACAAATTCAGGTCTGTGCTTAGCAAGTGATTAAAGAAGACAAACAAGATTGCGGTTGCCAGGATCCAACTACATCATAAACTTTGTAAATATGCAATGAAGACTTTTGCAAATTAAAATCTGCAAACAATGTTCCTTTGCGCAACCAAGACAGCCTCACGAGTATCTCTTTCAGGAGGTTCCTGCACTGTGACCTTGGACTAATTCCATTCATGAGTGTTTACAGAGGAATCCAGACTACTCAGACAAAGCCCAAGCATGAGGGGCACAGATAGATTCTTGAATCCATGACCCTCCTGCCATCTCCTGGCTACTTCACAGCCACCTTGCCAAGTATGAAAATTCAATATCAACAGTGAAAAATATATTTGATAAGGCTTTTTGGAAGGTTTCTATCGATATCTTAAACTTTGGTCCCAATGGAAACTGTACAATGAAGACAATGTTTGAGTCATACACAATTTCATTCGTAACACTTTCAGATGGAAAGTCATGAGCGATAAAGAGAACCACAACAATTTTCGTTTTAATCGGATTCAAAGTTCATTCACAATTATATCAATTGCCTTTGATTCACTTAATTTATCCTGCCAATGTTGAACTCTCACTGTGCGATGCAGCCAGAATGAAGTTACATCACTGTGTTAAGAATGACAGATATTTTCTACAATCTGTGGTGATTGGCATGGGACCACCATACAAATCTCAAATACTTAGAAACCTTTACATAGAACTTCAACAATCTTTAGGCTTTGAGTCGAGGACCTCAGGAGATGAGACCACCGAACCGCCCAGCCGGATGTGTTTGTGTTTTTTTTTCAGCTTCCGCTATGCAGCCAGAGGTGTGTGGGGTCGCACTCTGACCTGGAACCTCTGCACGAGGTTGGTGGAGGTGGCGTTGCCTTGGTCGGCCTCCAGCAGCAGGTCAGTGAGCTTGTGCAGGATCACTCGGAATGGGCCCTGCTGATCGAGGTCACGCTGCAGATCGATCTGCGCAATGGAGCAATGGCACATGGAGAAGGAATGACGCGACCGCCGTTGGTCAAAGCAGCTCCCGGGACTCAAAGGGCCAGCTCAGCACCTCTCTTCTCTCCCAAAGGAAACCAAAACCTCCTCCATCAGCCGATGCAACCAAATAGTATGTGAGAATCGTCTTATGACCATTTATCTGCTGGGAGCAAAGAGAAGTCTGCTAGGTATGAAAGGTATCTACATGTAAAAAGTTCAGAAGAATAAGTTAATACGTTTATTACCTGAGTATTCGTTTATTTGTTTCATGTTATACTTTTGTCTTTGTCCTATTTTGTTTTACTAATGTATTCCCACTGGCATCATTGCCACGAGACAAAGTGCCCATTTGTAACTCTTTCAACCCAGTATCGCTGGTGAATGGGCCGTGGAAGCGGATAATGCAGAACTTATTTCTGAAGCAATTTCAAACTGACCTTTGTTATCCACACACAAGGTGGTGCACTATTCCACACACCCGGATACGATGAAGCATCTGTCGCATGCCAGTCAAACTGATATATCCAACATTCAGGAGCTAGAATATAGACACATCTGGTGATAACTCAAATGTACAGTATTACGTCGTTTTTTTTAATGAGAGCATTGAACTCACTGCACTGGAGAACCCTGGTTCACTCACAGAGGTGCAGGATATTTGCTGGGCCACTAGGTAACCTTTACTCGTTCAGTTGAAACTGCACCCCTTTTTATAACCGCACTTTGCATCTTAGCCGTGCGCTGTGGGCGTTCAGGTACAACCTGCACCTGCTCAAACCACCAAACTTTCTTGAGGCCATATGTAAGTACGTATGTTGAACTTCTTCCGAAACGTATGTAGCCAACCGTGCTAATCGGAGGTGCGGGGGAAGGACAACTTAACACGAAAAGCAGTTCTAACAAAATAAATCAGTTTTCAATCTAGATTTCAAAGCGCATAGCTCAAGTGACTTCCCTGTATCGGAAGGAAGAGCGTTCCGGATGACCACACAAGTGGATAGACACGTCTTGTGAAAAGTATACATTTATTTATCAACCATGCACGCACGTGCCCGATTGTGTTGTCATATAACTGCATTCCTGGGCAACCAATGTTTACGATTTCGCATGATGGTGTATAAATGTGGACAAAATAACGCCAGGACTTGGCAGGACAGTCCGCGCAGGTTGGCGGCCTTGCCAGGTAATACCTCATCAGGCTTTTATTCACTGTTCATCCCATTAAATCAATTGGCAAGAGCAGACTTAGGCATTCAGCATCACAAAGGATGGCTATGTGCCTGATTAAAGTTGGATTCTTTCCCCCGCCTTCCACATAGACGAACAAGTTAGAACTGCAGCTCGAGTAATAGTCCTAAACAACACGGCAGGCAGTTATGTAAACCGCGAGATACATTTAACCCATGCCACCTACGTTAAATTAGAATTAAATTCAACGGACTGGGTAGGCGTGATGTGCATCAATTAATGGTTGAATTAATTGATCAATTAATTGATGAATATCGGTGTTTCAGCTTGCTATATAGGCCGATGACGTCAACATGCTACGCCCATCAACCCCTGTCCAACAACACACGTGGGAAAAGAGGTAAGACTTTTTTGTTCCCTAACAATTTTTGTGGTATCCAAATCATGTGGTCAATCGAACCGATGACAGGTACAGTAATCAATTACTTGGATAACTGGATATGCCCAGCCCTACACCTAATGTAAATCATTCAACACACTTTGCGCTATTGAAGTAGTATGTTCAATTAACTTTTTGTGGGGATAGGATTGATGTTCATGCATTGCGCAGATAGTTTTTTGTTCTTCCCTGACAAAATATACTCGAGTCACCGCGATCCATCTTCAGCATCCTTAATGACCGCTTCTAAAAGCTCGGTTAACACATTTTTTCTTCCTTCTTTACAAAAATATACAAATGTACAACAACAAAAAGTCAGGCATCGGAACCTGCACCAACTGGTCCTGGAAAATCGACGATCCCAATCTCATTGATATTCACGGTTGTGCGAAGCGGAGCCTCGTTTCAAAATGCGTTGGCAGACCTGCAACGAGCTCGGGCAAATAAAGTAGAAAAGCACATTTGTAGAATCTCCATATTTAGTGGTCACGGGCCTTATGACGTCTGATAAACACGCATTACCAAATTAAAAACAGCACGCCTTTATAAGGCATCGTTACGACTGATAGACCGCTATTATTACTCTACTCAGAAATACTAGTCCAAGTAGTCGAGTCATTTTACAGGTACAATAACAGAATGTTAAGCTCAGATGGCATGAATACATTATTATAGCAGACACACCGTCACGCTGGGTCACAACTAAGATGAATACAGATACAGAAAAATAGAGGCTGAAGTCAAAGAGTGCTTGATCCTGCTTAAAATGAATAACAGATGCAATGCATTTATCTGCTCCACAAATGTCCATTCTGGATGCGCAGTCACTGCGTTTGTTCGGTGCATAATACGCCTCTACGAGCACACACAATGTCTCCTTTTCCAATTACAGGCTCACAATTCTAACAACGATGTTACAGCTCAAAATTTCCAGAGGGCATAATTTTGTTTCAGGGTCAAAACATATAAGGGTCACAAAAGATGACCTCGCCTTGCATCTTGTTGTACATTGCTGTGCTTGTCCGATAAAAATAAAAATACAAATCCCCGTGTCATGTGATCTGTCGGTAATATCTCGTGACACTCTTTAGCCAATGAGAATGCCACCCACCTCTTTGCATTGAAGAGTGCCCACAAGATTAATAGCATCACCAAATTAATATTTTCACTTTGGAGGGGGAGAAGTAAAAAAAAATTAATGAGAGATAATACACATATTCTTTGTTTTTTTCACGTAGGTAAAAAATAAAATAAAATAAATGAAAACAACTAAATTAAATCACGACGTTTCGGAAGCAACACAAGCCTCCGTCTTCCAAAACGTCGTGAATGAATTTAGTTGTTTTCATTTATTTAATTTAAATTTTTACCTACGTGACTTTACCGAAAAAACCAAAGAGTATGAATCCTTGCAGTCACGAAAGCTTCAAATCTAGAGATAACACACAGTGGTGTTGGTTGTGTGCAATGTGCAACGGTCAACATGGAATTGTGTCAAATACTAGCCCAACCACACAACCTCCAGGACATTGGGTAAGGGAACGGTTACGTGTGGGAGACCTGTGACGTTACCGCATCACCAAGCACGCAGGAGAAACATCCGTCCTCTCCCACATCCGTGCCCTCATTTTTATCATCTGACCAGGCAGCTGACATGCAAAGCTTAGGTGGTCTAATTGTAAACCAGATCTATGTGCACTCACTACATAATAGACAGGACAGCCACTTATTCTTTTAGAAGGGAGTACTAAACACATGCATGTTAATGACAAAGGGTGCAAATCAGCGAGGCCCCGACTGAAAAAACCTTGGGGGAAATCCAATAAACAATATTTTGTACATTGGTAAAAAAACTATTTCCCAAGTCCGTATAGTTGCCCACATTTCCAATGTTATTCTAAACATTGTACCAGTGGGTGGCAGTTTGGTACGTAACGAATATTGAATTATTCAGCGTATTATAGAGGTAAACAACAACCAAAAAACGTGAGGATCCAGTGCATGGCAATAAGACAATCGAAATTGTCAAAAAAAATAAGTCTCAAGTGTGATCCACGAGACTTGTACGCTAAAGTTCCACTCTCTCGTACTTATTCCCAGACATTTTGTCTCTATATATATGAAGAACTTACAACAAAAACTTTATGGCAGTGAATCATATGAACATAAACGTGCGACTTCTGCTTCAAACCGGGAGTCCAACATTGGTCGGTGCAACTGTGTTGGTCACTGTCCTTGATGTTTCCCCATTCATCATCATCAGTGTGCTCGTGTCAGAGGTAGGCAAGTACAGTACTAATGGGCACCCTCAAGCAGTTTGATGAAATGTCACAATTCAGGATGCCCTTTCATTCATCGAGTCTGTTTTTGTCCCATGTATCTGTGCATCGCTGAAAGTTTTGACGGCTCACTGTACGAAAAATGCTCCTCAAAGCGATACTTTCCGGCAGGCCTTGCCGGCGAACGCTGCTCCTTCGCAGCGTTCCGTCTCCCCCACCCCGTTGCCTGAAGACACCTCCCAATGTGTCAGGCGAAACATCACGAAGGACAATGGAGCAGGCAGGGCTCACCGCAGCCACCCTGAAAAAGGAACCTTGAAGATAATTTCTCATTTATATATTTTAACACAAATGTTCCCCTTCATTCGCAGTTTAGTCTGTTCCGTTAGCCTCAATATATCACGGACACCTTATGTAACCCACTCTTACAAAGATAGCCTTAACAGACTGTTGGGGCAAGTGCTGTTAGCGAGCAGCACCTATGAAGTCCGGAATGGCACACGCTGGTATGTGTGTGGCCACAACTACGCCCGGGCCGCCTTTATCCCCCTTGTGGCGACTTTTACACATCGCAGCAGGTACTCGTTTGGAGGCTGAGTCGACCTAGGGGAGGCCCAGGACCAGTTAAGAGAATCGTCACTGATGGTGTTGGCCGTGAGCGAGAAATCGAACTCGGGTGGCCAGGTTCGTAGCGCAGCGCACTAACCCCTGTGCACTTCCACCTCGAACAAGACCGCTCCCCACTCTTGCACACACGCGATTTGGCAGGTAGAGAGTAATAATCTTTTCAAACTTCTGACTCGATGTACCGTTACGTGCCTAAAGGCTGCCGCCAGCTTGGCAAGAGGTGTGCCTCGGGTACTAAATGCGAGTCCTTGTTCACGTTTTAAGAGTTGCTTGGGCAACTTACTGAGAAGCCTGGGAAGTCGCTTATATAATGAGCCAAGAATGTCTGTGTGTAATGCACGTGACGTCACTCCACGTCGACCAGCCCCCCTCATTAATAATCATGAACAGGTGGGGGTCCTCCACATGACCCCCACCCGTTATTAATAATCATGAGCTGATGACGTCAC